CTCGTCTAATCGATAAGTTACCTCCTGATCCGAATAGAAGGACGTTAAGATAGATAGGTTACCGGATCTGAATAGAAGGACGGTAAGACATATCTTATTAAACAGTTTTTGTATTAATCACATATTATGCTGTGTTAAAAAATTAATTAAAAAATAAAAATGACTTTTCCAAAACTTTTTATTTTTTCAAAACCTTTCCAGGCCTGGAATTTGCATTTTTCAAATTCCATAACTTTTCCAGGTTTTTTTTTCAAAATGTACAAACTCTGAGTATTATTGATTTCATGTCCAAGCCCATCTACAAGTAACAGATATGGGGGAAAAGGAAATTGAATCAGATATGGATTAAGGAACTTATTGTATAAAATGTGTTATTTTTTCATAAGTTCCTAATTCTTGGTATATCTAGCAAGCGGTCACCTTACACCTGTAAAACACACCCTGGTGGAAAAAAAATACGCAAAGTATACTTGCAGCCATGCAGACTAATTATCATTATACTTCATGTGTGTAAATGATTAGTTAACTTGAGGTCTGGTATTTTGAAACAACTAATTTTGTACTAAGCATGACTTAATGTGTATTTAGTGTACTTTTGTGTACTAAATTGGAACAACTTCAAGTATACATAGTATACTTTAAGAAAATCCCTATGTAGGGACTAATTACATGCTTGATTAGTGATATTAAAGTGTACTTCATTTGTGTTACAATAACATTACAAATTCATTATGAGTGTCTTTTAAAATAAAGTACAATTATTTTAAAGCGTGTTAAAAGTATAATTTTTTTTCACTAGGGCACGCTTCACTAATGTACTCTTGACATTTCCTGGGTTCTCAGAAGAGAAGTTGCTGGGTAAACTTTTAGTGGTGAATGGAAACTATAACAAATATAATTTCTGCCCTCACCATTTGATCCAACAAGATATCAATTTCCATCCCTCCCTCAGCCATTGTTAGAAACACTCAAATAGCAGCTTTAACACAAAGTATAGTCTTATATAATGTCTTGAAAAAATAAATATATAGTATAAAATATATATATAGTATTATATTATAAATCTTTGCTAGATTTACTATATTAATAACTTCAGAAAGTCACCACAGTCTGAAAGGGGTCCATACAAGTTATATTCAGGGGACACTCATGCTGAGTATCTTTGGAAAGTCATTACTAAATAAATTAGTTAACACTTAAATTTAGACAAATATTTTGTGATAAATGTTTTTAGTGCACCAAATCAATATACGTTGCATATGTTTACCTATAGTACCTGCAGCTTACAGCTGCAATAATGAAAAGGACTGAAACTTTGGAAATGGCCTTTTAGTTCCATTTGGAAATCTTACTCGCACACTCATTTTCTATGGACTCTTCTTCTTATCTGCAGCCCTTCAGATCGGCCCTTCCACAGCCCGCAGGAAAGAGGCCTTAACCAAAATGCCACTTCAATTCCCATAACTCTAGAATAAAATGCACTGGTCCCTCCAGATATTACAATATCAAACCAAACTAGAAGAAAATGGGGCTAAACATGAACAGACCAAAAACATACACATTCTTTATGATATATTACCACCACCAAAGCACTAAAAGTATACTAATATTTATTGATGTCAAACACATGCTAGACAACCGATAATCACATGTAGCCCCATTAGTCCTGTTTCAGTCAGACTCGACATTACTGTACATGTTTTTAAAAAGAATTATTAACATTAGTACAACTTTTAAAGTGCATGTAAACAGATTTAAGGAACTAATTCTGGTCAAGTTAGATTTAATTGTCCTAAATTATACATTCAAGTGCGTTTTCAAAAGTGCTAACAAAGTAAAAAATACATAATAGGGAAGTTAAGTACTGAAAGCAGGCTGTAAGACGTTCAGTCTTTGAGGTTCAACATGCTTCAGCAAATTTCCTTTAGTCAAACTTAAGTCGTTCTCCGTCCAATATGCAGGCATAACTTTTACAAACGAAAGTCTCAAACTTCCTCATTTCAGATTTAGACTAGATTGGTTTATGTGATACATCCTGCTGTGTTAAATGACTGTCCCCATCTAAAGAGGGTCAGAGATCTCAAAATACACACTACAGACTACACAGAGAGCTCATCGTCACATCTGTCTGCAGAAACACTGTAGGGGTGTTATTAGAGTCGCCTTTAAAAAGAGGATAGCATTACTGTAATACAGTAAAATGGTCACATGTACTACTATATGCACAAAGAACATTGTTGACTGTATGAAATGTTTGTGCTTATGTTCCACTATATATTTAAATCATTAGAGACTGTATTGATTTCCAATTTTAGGCTACAAAGTACATGCAAATTCAGGTGGCAGACACCATATTTGCATGTTACTGTTACTTCCATTTGGTCAATGTACAGATAAACCTACAATCTTTTCCAAGCCATGATGAAAGACTACCACACATAACACCCCTCTGAATGGGTGAGTATGTTTGAACTTTTGTATACATGTATAAAAACCTTTTACTACAGATTTAGTAAAATAGAGTTTTCTCTGAAAGTGATATGGAAATTAAGGCAGAGGCATGTCATGTAGAAAAAGTCGGCGACAGGACAGGAAATGAGAATAAGATATAGAGAGACAAACAGCTGCGTGAATAAAATAGCCTTTACAGTTGAAATACATATAATATTAGTTGTATGACCAGTATTTTACAAGAATAATTTATAAGTTACACAGAATAACGGCTTTAATTGCATGTTAGCAGAAATGTTACATTATTGTTGTTCGATTTTATGACGCCTGACATTTTAAGTTGTGCATATTTCAACTAGCCTAGCCATGCCATACAATAAACCATTGAATACTGTGAATGAACAGACCAGAATTTACATTGAACACACAACTGTGATCTATTCCACCCAGAATCCTTCTACAAGAGGGCATTATTAACTGGACACACAGAGCTTTATCTGACAGACGACTCAATTTCCAAACTTAGGGAAATAATGAATTTCCAAATTTTGGAAATGGAGAACATTTTAAATTGCACAATTGTGGCCAGTGCTTCTGTTTTATTTACTTTTTCAGTTCAATCAGTGTTCAGTGTTAGACAAAGCAACTCAAAAATGTAACTAGTTAAGCTAAGAAATTCACCAAAAAAAATGTAACAAGCTACAGATCAAATAGAAGACAAACATTAAAATAAAACATTCTGAACTATAAACAATATTTAGTACAATAATAATACATTTAATAAAAAAAAAATACATAATTTATATTAAAAAAAGGTTTAAACTGTAAACATTGTTCCAAACGTGTGTAACTGTGGCATTCACAGGACGCTATACAACTTGAAATTTCACAAAAAAAGATCTGTGCCATAGTCCAGCGATGGTATCAGATGGTAAAACCAAATTTTGTGAGACCACTTCATTCATTAATTTAATTAAACAAGTATAATTGAATATAGCAAATTATCCCTGCCTTCAACCTGATGCTGGAAGATACTCTAGTATGGATGATGGTTAGATGAATACAGCAATTTAAGTCTACTTTTATTTATTAATTTTGAATCCATGGCATGCATATAACCCCGAATATGTACAATATGCAAGCATGTCACGTTATCCACCCATACAGCCAAAATGGCCTGCTCCTGCCGTAAAAGAATTCTTCTTCAAACAGCAACACCACCCATTATACAGTTATCGCAATAGATGGCTGCAGTGATTAGAAATGAGAGGGGGATCGTTGGGGAATGTACACCGTTTTCTTTTCCCTGTTCCGCAGCTCTATGTCACAGTTTCCCCTTTTCTCTTCTACTGCCCACAGCAGTTTATTGGGCAGGGCATTATTTTCATGAGACATTTATGCAAAACACTGCACTTTCCTGATGGTGTTAATTGCTGCACATCAAGGATTAAAGGAACTTGGCACGCATATTTGCACAAGAGGATTGAACAGAGGTATATCATAATATTATCCCCTACCTATATCCTCTATATATAGGTATATCAGGCCGTGGAATCATCATTTGGTTTCTTGTAAAATCAGTGCAGGCAATTCCTTAAAATCACAGGCCTTATCTAAGTTTGGACCAAACTGTCCATGACGTCTTCACCCAAGTTACACCAGTAGCTCATAAGATTATTTGGTATCAATTTAACAAGGCGCTGCTTTGGTTTCAGAAGCAACAGGTATAAAACGACAATACAAAATTATTTTGAAACGAGAAGTGAACTTCATGTAAAAGGGGATATCTAATCATACCATCGCAGGGAGGGTCAGAATCTTGTATCTGGGTGAGGTTTATAACAATTTAATCCATAAAGGACTGTCAAAAGAAAAACTATCCCAGAAATGACTGCTGTCAATTTGCCAGTCACACCAACGCACACTGAGATGAGACGAACATAAGAATTTGCATAGATAATTGTTGCACTTCTGGTTAAACAAAACACCATGGAAAAATCTTCACACATATTTAATATCGAGATTGGCATTAAAAAACTACTGAAGTAAGCCCTCTTAGAACGGTCATTTTAATTTAACAGATAGATGGAAATATTATCAGCTTATTCACAACACTATTCACAACTGTGCGATGTGTAAGTTGCTGTGGTCAACAGTTTTGGGGAAGAGTTTGTAAGTAGGAACAGAACTTGACAACTTTCCACGACCTCTGATCAACTCAAAACAAAATGTGTCAATTTGAATAAAGGTAGCTACATTGAATTCAACTGAATTGAACATTATTATTTTTGTTATCTCTTAAACGCAGTTTAACACACACCAGAACGTGTCATTATATTTCCAAGTACAACAAAACGTAAATCGAAGTTCCAAAACAACGTTAAACAGTTTCAAACTCTTGCAATAACTTCAGAAACTCTGACGAAGTTCACTCACACAGGATGTCACATAAGCGTGATTAACTTTAAAAGAGGCACGAAAGTATCAGATTTGAAAAGAGAGAAGAACGCGGATCTAAAACATCAACACAAAAACCCTTGTACACTTACCGAGACGAGCACAGCAAACAAGACAGTTGCAAGTAAGACACTGGCCTGAAGTAAATAATGCTGACCCATAGTGGCAAAAAAAATGTTTGTCACTTCATAATTGGGTTAATTTCTCAGTCTTTGTTATCTATAAAACTGTCTCTGTCTATTGTGCGCGATGAAAAGGCGAGATGCTGCTCATTCCTGGTTCAGGTGCTCTTAAACTTTTCTCTTCTCGGCTCTTTCTCTTCTCTGGGTGAAATGGGCGGGGGGAAATGATTCGCCACGCCCATCGATGTCTTAGGCTTTATCCCCAACAGACATCAACAACATTTATAACAGCACCAGCGGACGTTCACCCTTATACAGTCATTTTGCAGGCGTCAGTTTAGACAAGCAAGACTGAGCCTTCTCAAAAATGCATGGAACAACGAAGCTGATAGTTAACCGTTCTTTAATCAATTTACCCCCAAAATTAAAATGCATAAAGTTGTGTGCATGTAGGCTATCATCTTCTTTTACGCTTTAGCACAGGCAAGTTTTAATTTACATTTCTGCATTTGGCAGACACGCTTATCCAAAGTAACTGCATTCGTTTTATCAGTAAAACGATTCACGACCTTGGTGAAGAGAAACTTTAAAACGTAGCCAAAATATTGATTAAGTGCAAATGAATAAGGATCTCAAGACTGAACGACAAGACCATAATATAGTAGTTGGAAGGGGGCTCTCTCTATTCATAAATGCAAATTGTCCAACGCATTTGTCATGGTAAGCGTTTTGTCCACTGATTTGTTCCGTTGATTTATTGATGTGATTTATTTATATCAGATGTGACAAGTGTGTTGGCGATCAGAGAGATTATAACGTGCCATCAAGACTATTTTTAGATATCAGAGTGTAAACATTTTTGTAAGGCAGAATAATTACAGTAATAAAAATCAAACCAGCTCAATTTTTTTTTATTTCTCCATCAGTATTAAAAACAGGGTAGGTGATTTTTCAAGATTTTTTTTTTTTTTTTTTTTTGCTGGTTAAAAGTCTCTTCACATCCTGTTAGCAATCAAGTTAAGTGGTCTATGTATATCATCTGTGCGAGGCGAGGCGTACTGTATTTGTCCAATCATTGCATTCGGTCCGAATGCAACAATAGCCTATGCATAATATAATAATATAATATCTCCGTGCATCCTGCTTACGCAGACATCACACGTCACCAGAACGTTTCATGCTATGCAGAACAGACGTCTGATTTTGACGAATTGAACAGAAGAAATGAACTTCTGTGAAAGAAGGCGTAGCCTCAGCGCACACCTAGTAATCGCCACAGACCAATGGTAGTACAAAGGTTTACCAGCTAAAGCAAACTTTTCCAGGGAGTTCGGCTTAGCAAGCTGTTAGAACTCCCAAAACAAACTCCTCAAAGTTTGATTTTGCTTGAAGTATATCAGGGCCTTTACACTACAGACGTCAGTCACCGAGCATCGCAACCTAAACAGCAGCCACCTCTCACCCCGAAAATCCACTGGATGCGTCTGCGGCGTGGAACGTCAGTGCCACGTTTTTGATGCGTCCCTAGTTCGGTGTCAAAGTCCACTGGAAGCATCTCTGCAGCGGACTTCTAAATTTACTGGATCGTCATGCCGTTCTGTGTCTGACTTCCTGCCCCTGACTTCCTGCCCGGTACGATGTGCTCTGTGCTGCTGGCGAAAATAGATCTGCTACCTGAGCGGCGCGGAGAGTTGCTTCTGGGACGCTTCTGTGACGCGACGCTTCTCAGGACTTTAGAGCAATGACTATAATGGCCACGATTAGCTCCGGCATCCGCGACGCTGACATTCTGCGCTGCAGTGGATTTTAGGGGTTATGCCCCTTATGCTTTGGCCACCTCAAGCTTATGCTGTGTTCATGCCATATCTGCTGTAATTTGGAAGAGATAGAATCCTGTGATATTACAAGAGCAGTTTGTGACTCAAGTTGTTTAATGGGAACGCTATCAATGCCGAAATTAATCTGCAGCAGTCAGGTGATCCAGGTTCAGTCAGGGCTCTTTAAGTTGTTAATGTTCATTATTATTTTAATGCTATGTGCTTTGAAACATGAGCTAGTTAAACATCATCTTTATTTTGTTTGCTCCCTGCTGAATGAGTTGTGGCTTTGGAGATACGCTTTGGAGATGAAGGGATCTTATGCTCAAAGCTATCTCACTTGCTAACCTCTCAGAAAATACCCTACCTTTCATTTACATATCAGCCTTCCTGTTATGGCCCCTTGGCTCAAGGAGTAGCAACATGAATGGAGAATCCATACAACATAATTAAATTTGCACAAATGTGTATTTAATCATCGAAAACAAACATAACAAGATAAAGATACAAAACAACAACAACATCAAGCCTTGGACTGGAGAGGGTGAGAAAGTCAACAGGACAACCAAACATCAAGACTAAGCTCCTAGCCCCTAGCAGCTATTCTCCAGCTTCTTATGAGATGATCAATTCTCCACACCTGTTTCACAGCAATTAACCCAAGGACACAAATATTGTTACCTAGAGACACCTACTGGAAAAAAAAAACACACCTTGTGATCCATCACACTTCCCAAACAATTGGCTTTATGCCCAGCTGCACTACTTCCTGAACTTCAGCCAGCTCCTTGTTTCCTGTCTGCCATTATTGGCCAAATTGATTAATTCAGGTGTGTCTGATTATTGTTGCCATGACTACTGAGGTCAAGCACACCTGACTTATTCAATTTGACCAATAATGGCAGACAGGAAACAAGGAGCTGGCTGAAGTTCAGGAAGTAGTGCAGCTGGGCATAAAGCCCATTCCTTTATGGACTGCAACTGTGCATGAATGTGACAATATCACAACACTTACAAAGCCACAAATTGGCATCAACATCTATTCTTGCTTACATCTCATCTCACTATTAACTACTTATTTAAATCATCACCGTGTATATATATCTAAAAAAAAAAAAAATCTATATTGTGCTTTGTTTGTAGATTCAGCAAACTGATCAGCAGTAATGTGAATTATAACAGTAACTTGCATGTTGCATATTTCATTAGGTCACATTACTTACTCCAGCATTTCAGCCTTCCTGTTTGTCAATTTAGGACTGTCGTGTTTCCGGCTTCTAAACACTAGATTGAAAGATTACTTGTCCATACAAATACTACTATAGAAATAATTACAGTAAGTGGGTCTTTAAAATGCCCACACAGTTTTATTTTCTTTTTATAAGGTTATGGAGCCGTTTTAAAAAGGAAGCTGAAAAACAATCCAAAGGCCCTTACAAACATCAGATCATATTATTGGAGATATGCAAAAATCCAGATAATCAAAAGTTTTTTTCCCCACAACTGTAAGTTTTTATTTTGTTCATAAACAGTTTAGCATGCAGTAATCTTGATGATTTGGCACATCAGCCCCATAACAGTGTTGGATTGTAAATGCTTGTTGTGGGTGCAGTTTTCTCTGCTTCGTGTTTCACTGTTCTCTGTGTTGCAACAGTTTTTCTTTTTTTGGGGGTGGGATAGGGGGAGGGGGGTCTCAGTCCTGTTCAGTGAACTATGCAGTCTTATGGGTAACAGAAAGCAAGCAAGAGTATAGGGCAAATGCAGTGACTAAACAGGAAGTGGTCATAGAGATCTCTGGTGGATGAAACAGTGAAACGCTTATCTCCCCGCTTACAATAGAAGCTTTTTTTTAGTCTGCACTGAGCACTAAGCACTTATATAAGCTGCAGTTGTATTTACTTTGCTGAAAACATTGTATATGTATAAATAGTCTATAGATGTTTGTACATTAATTTAGCAAGTCTGAAGTAATTTTTTATTTTTTTTTAAAAAAAGAAAATGAAAATAGTGATACTTAACTTCCCACCACAATGGGTGTTGTGGGTGGTTGCCAGTGCATTAGTATGGGGAGGTTTTTTTTTTTCTTTCTTTTCTTTTTGTTAAATGGTTGCAAGTTGTTCTTGCTGTTTGTACATGTCAAAAACAGTTCAGTTCTGCTTCCTAGATATGGCTGGCCTTCCTCATAGGCAAATAAATATGCTCACTTATAAAAGTAATACCATCCTCCACGACAAGTCACAAATTTAAAGAATCACTAGTTAAAGTATCAGCAAAGAGTAAAGTGAAAACCCTTTTAATATACCGTAAAACCGTTTCTCTTCAAGTCATGTTACATTTATTTTTGCTGTAAAAGCTTGACTGATTTTTATATATGTAAGAATAACTTATATTGTTAGTATAGTACCCCAGTGGAGACAAACCTATACAAAAAAGTATTTTAAATACATTTATTTCATACTAAATACAAATCCATTAACATATACTGACATATCGCTTGAAACTTACTGATTATTGGGACTTACTAAATATTATAATTAAACTTTATTTGGAGTTGTTGTTTTCATTGCACAATGCACATTTCTCAATATTAAGCCTAAATGTGTTTAATATCACTATTAGTAAGGATATTATGATCTCTGTATAATATCAGTGTCACAGTCCTCGTCTGCACCAGTCTGTCTTGTCATCAGCACTTCCCAGGATCTTGTCTCCACTCCTGAACTCACTCTCGCAATCACCCACCTGTACATCGTCTTCATCATCTGTGTCACCTGTTTTTACCTCGTTATGTTTGATTCCTGCTTGTATCAGTCAGTGTTCCTGCATGTCTTTTTTTTAACTGTACCTGTTTGAGTAATTAAGTAAAGTAATTTGAATTGGAGCATTAGCCTCTTCTGTCTTCTTCTGCCTGCACTACAAACTGTGACAATCAGTCTATAAATGCAAGATATTTTAAGTGTACCTAGGCTTAGTTCCAATAGTTCCACTTTAGCACAATCAAATGTATTTCTTTAGTTGGACCTCAGCACTATTTCTGGATAACTAAATTGTATTACTGAGTACAAAATTAGTTCTTTTTTTAGCAGACTTTAAGTATTCCAATTGAGTAAAAGTAATGCATTTTCATATATAAGTACTTTATGTAAATGTATTTGTAGTATACTTAAGTATAAAATAAAAGTATTTTAAATACATTTTTAGCATATTTATTTTTCACTAGGGTAACTGAAGCAGGTTTACTTTTCCATACATAATTGCTTTCATGTAAAAAAAAAATCATGTTAAAATGTATCAAATATGCTACATCAGGATTTTGAGGAACGTTTAGATATCTCAATCATTTTATTGCGTTGCGTTATTTTCTACTTACAATAAAAACTGCAGACATTTGATTTGAACTACACATTTCAATGTCATCTTACTGAAATTATTAGGAGCTATAGTGTGACAACAGATATTTGTATGCTGTGAAAGATCTCATCTCATTGATTTACATTACAAACAATTATCAGAATTTTCATCTATCCATCTTCATCTATTTTATCTAGTGTTTTTCCTACTTGAGGCCTACTCAAATATATTCAATAAAATGTATACAATATAAAGTTATATGTAACTTTTTTATATATTTCTAAATAAAAAACAACTTGTTGCATAGAAAACTTGATTTTTTTTTCACTATAATTTCATATGTCGGGTATTACAGGGTTTTTGTAGGAATAAGAATTGCCTGGAGTTACATTTACATTACATTTAATAATGTATTGATAGAACGTTGTATAGAACATTCTGTTCTGTTTGTACAGTATTTTTTAGCAGAAACATTAGCTACATAGCTGCTGCATCTAGGTTTATAGCACCCCTTCCACAGAAACAGAAGCCATAGTCAGGTTGTGCTATTCCTCCCACAGCCCAGTATAACGTCACTATAATAGCAGCAGCAACCTCACAAGCTTCTGTAGAGAAATGCCACACAAACCACAGAAATATTTACATGAGAAAATATCTATAGATTATTCTATCTAGTTATATATGAAGAGTTCAGATGCAAATGCCTCTAAGTGTCATTTGAAATTTTCTTCTAGAATGATCATTTTTATCAAGCTTGTATATTTAAGTTCAGTAATTTCACTTAAATGACAATTCATATGTAATCTTCATTCCCATTTAAGTCAAATTAATGAACTTAAATATACTAGCTTGATAAAAATGATCATTCTAGAAGAAAATTTCAAATGGCACTTAGAGGCTTTTGCATCCGAACTCTTCATATATACAACTACATGCATATGGTTCTTCAGAGTCTCATAAGCAAGGTGCCTAAACAATTGTATTGTTATCCGGCTCTTCAAAACTCATGCTGCGATTGCGTATGATGACCACGAGTGGCGCTGCTAATCTGCTTACTAATGCAGCATGCAGGCTATAGTTTAGCACCACTAGATGGAAGCAGTTGCTTATGGAATATGAAGTCTGTTGGTTTCCAATATTAGAAAATTGTGAATAAAGAAAGAAAGAAAGAAAGAAAGAAAGAAAGAAAGAAAGAAAGAAAGAAAGAAAGAAAGAAAAGAAAGAAAGAAAGAAAGAAAGAAAAAGAAAGAAAGAAAGAAAGAAGAAAAAGAAGAAAGAAAGAAGAAGAAAGAAAGAAAGAAAGAAAGAAAGAAAGAAAGAAAGAAAGAAAGAAAGAAAGAAAGAAAGAAAGAAAGAAAGAAAGAAAGAAAGAAAAGTTTCCACATGCTTTCATTTGCTTATCCTCTGGTGCTGCTCTTGTGGTGGTCAAAATGTGCAATTGTTTTAAAGTGTGTTAAACGTTGTAGGCTATTTTGAAAATAAGTAAAAGCATGATGTTAATATAGCCTACTGATAGAATAAATTTGTTAGTAACCTATATTTGCAATGTATTAGGGAATATATTTAAAATACAATAAAGCATACTTTTGTTCACTAGGGTTGATACCTCAAAAATGAAATTATGTTTGGGCGCAGTACCAAACGTTTCCACTAGATGAAATTCGCGATTCGTGTCCATTATTATTACTGTTTTATTTTATTTATTTTATGTTTACTCTGCAAGTGGCAAAACCTTTACCAAGTTGTATACAATTAAAATTATTTACAAAAAGAAAAGTCTAAAATGGGTTTTAGACCAGAGGGTTATGGAAAAAATGACGCTGCTGTTAATGTGCGTACTGATAGGACCGGAAAGAGAAGAGGGCACTAAATCCCTCCATCCCAAGCTACCCCAGAAATCCGTTGCCTAGGTTACACCTCCAGCTGCGACCTGAAGCGAAGCATCGCACCTCGCGAAAGACAATACCTCACACGTCAACACCTATTGAAAACTCAAACAAAAATATACTCGGAAGAGACAGTCATATTAAGACACGCGCGCGTTCACGCACGCACGCACCACGCACACACACACACACACACACACACACACACGTAGAGAGACCCTCCTCATTGTGAGAGAGGCGGACTCATATGGAGGGCCGCTTTTCGGCTCTGCAGCGACTGCAGCGTCTCCCGCTGCCTGTTCTTCCTCCGCGCGCGTCTCCGCGAGCGCTGTGATGTGAATATTAATGATGCTGCGCGAATCTCCGCGCTCATTTCCATCGCTTTCACCCAACCGAGAGGTAAGAGCGCATCCGTATTTTTCCGTAGACGGCGCGGTTTACATTATTATTCAGAGTCCATTTCATCCCGTGGAAGAGCGTGTCGTGTTTTTGAGGATGCTGAGACGCTCGCTCGACGCAGTGTTGGTATCAATGAAGAGGCGAAGCGAGTCAATGAGCGAGTCAGCGAGGCGTTTCAGTATGGTGCATGTACTAGCTAACGTTACTCCTGTTTTATACGGGCTGTTTCGTTTAAAAAAAAAAAAAAAACTAGCCCACCGTTGGGATGTCATGCACGCTAAGTAATCTAAACATTGTCTTTGATTGGTGAACACAATGACTGGTAGGAAATTGATGGAAATGGTCTTCATGTTTATGATGATGAAAAACAGATTTTATCAGTATGTTTTAGATGTAGAGGATAATTTTACAAAGCCCATTTGGTGGGTTTTGGAAGATGGGAAGGATGCATTTGGGGTCCTTAAATTGCATTCAACAAGTGTAGACTATCTCATCCCTTCCGCTGTGTGACTGATGTCTCCAGATAGACTGCCATCCTGTGTGTGTATAACCGATGAGTGTATGGAGATATGGGGGCTATATGTTGTCAGACTATTATATATTTATTTTTTTATTTTTGTGTGTGTTTGTTTGAATAATTCAGACTTTGGATTATAATAATGACTCTTGGAAGGAATTGGTTTTAAAAAGGGATGTTTGCTTTTAGTCAATGCATTAAGCCAGTGAGACTTAGGCTATATTTAATGGGTTAGGGAGACTGGTCTGAATAATCCCCTGCCCGTGATTTCAGACTCTTACGTTTCCTCTCGCTCGTTCTCACAAATGATTTGTGGCCCTTTTGTCATTCATCTCTGAAATGTATACAACCAGTTAATCACATCAGCTATGCATTTCAGAAATGGAGAGTGAGACGGAGAGGTGGGTTCTTTGGAAACCATGATAGTTTTCATTCATGGAAATCCAAAGGTGCAGCACAATATTGGGCCCAGTCTGCAGAACAAAAAACACACCGATTTAACTCATCCAGCATAAAGCATAATCCTCTCCTACGAGCAAACACAATGATACACCGGCCTTGCTATTAAGCAGGTAATCTCTCTCTCTCTCTTTCTCTCTCTCTCTCTCTCTCTCTCTCTCTCTCTCTCTCTCTCTCTCTCTCTCTCTCTCTCTCTCTCTCTCTCTCTCTCTCTCTCTCATGCTGTTTTCTTTTATTAAAACTATTAGCATAGAAAAAAAAAAATCAGCATTACCATTAGCGAATTCTTTGTTGAAGAGAATTAAAAATGATTATTTTATGGATAGACTTCTAATGTATCCAAAATGAAAATAAATAAGGCCTTGCTAAATTGCCAACAGTTATTACCCTCCATTGTTGTTGTTAAAAGCATTGCTGACATATTAACTTTGATTTAGTTCAGAATAGTGTGTAGGATGTTAAGTCTGCCTCATTGTACAGTGCGGAGGCTGTGCAAAATGTCTATGTTTAGTTTATGCTGTTTATATGTGTTTGAATGTCTATTGGCTAGGGTTGGCTATAGATTTTGGCTTTAAAAAGCCCTATATAATGAGTTTGCATCTAATTAGAACTGGAAAGAGAAATGGATTTCATATTTGTTTCGAACCCAATAGGCAGGAAATGTCTGTGCCAGATGGGAACTGTGTTTCTCCTTTTATTCCACTATGGATTTTGTCTGCTGCATGATCCCTTTGCGTGTCTGTATGTGTGGGTGTCAGAGTGTGTGTACCTTTGTGTGTCTGTGTATTCAGGGGGGTGTTGATTGTGGTTCTATATAAACCGTTTGCTGCTGAGTGTATTTGTTTCCATGGTTACCCCCATGCCAATGTAGATCACGTCATCACCAGACCAGACCTCTGCAGCTATTGTTTACTGATCGTAGAGAAGACTGAGTGTGTGTGTGTTCGGATTTAAGATATGCCCCCCCCCCCCACACACACCCCCCCACCTTAAGTTCTTCATTGTTTTTCAGTCCTTTTGTCTAGACTGTCGTCTTCACTGTGTTTGATTTCTGCATGTCTTGCTTGGATTAATCATATCTACTGCTATATTTTGACCACCTGTCATTTTTCTTTGATAGACACACATGGAGGGCTATTTATTCAATACCGCTCAGTGACTCCATACTGTTGGTTGACTTGGCACGCAGTGTCTTCTGCTTGTATCGCCATCTGTAGCGCCCTGTACAGAGCTGCATGAGTAAGAATGGTTGTCTGCTATATTAATACTGCTATTTAAATTGAGATTTTGAATTCAGATCTCACTAATATCTATTTCTCATTTTTCTTACTACTAGTTTGTTTTAGGTCCTGAGAGAGGCGTTTGTCACTGTCATGTGAGCCTTCTAACTTTACTTTTTTATACAGTAAGTGCTCTACTGTTTCTTTATGAAGTATGTCTGTTTTTTCTCTGAGAGTGAAGGATATGTTTGATAATGCTTTGTAATCTTTTTAATCTTTTTGTATACACACCAAACTAGCATGCAATTTTTTTGTCAAGTGAAATTAGGTTTTAAGAATTAAGATAAATATATATTATATAATATATATAAATGGCTCTCTCAAGCCAACGTATTAAAGCGATATTGATTTGTGCTATGCAGTTCAGTGAGAAAGGAATTGAGTTTGCAAAAGTTTTACATTTGTGAAAATGAACAAGTTTTAACAGAAGTTATTAGTCTTAACAGAAATGAAGCTGAGTCAGTAATGAGTTTAAGAGTTTGACCTTAGAGTTGAATTCAATAAATATATGTGTATATACACTACTGTTCAAAAGTTTAGGATCAATAAGTAAATTATTGTATTCAGCAAGGAAGGATGCACTACATTGCTCATATGTGTCAGTAAAGACATTTATAACAATATGAAATGTTTCTATTTTAAATAAATGTTGTTCTTTTCAACTTTCTATTCATCAAAGTATCCTGATTTTTTTATCACTGTTTCTGCAAACATAATAATTAGTACAACTCTTTTCACCATTGATAATACAGTAAATAAAAATAAATGATATTGCAATTGAAAATTCTTAGAATATTTCATGGTATTACAGTTTTTATTGTATTTTTCATCAAATAAACACAGTCTTGCTGATCTTTAGAGACTTCTTTCAAAAACATTGAAAAAAAATTTACCAACCCTACACTTTTGAATGGTCGGAAATGTATGCTATGTAGTTATCATTGACAAATGGCATAGTTATTGGCAAATCGTTCAAGGACAAAAACATAGTTTCCATTACTAAATAGTCTGTGTATGGCCCATTTAATCCTTGGTTTAATTCAGATGCCTGCCTTTCTCCATCTCTCCCTGTCGGACAGTTTGTGGCTGGGAATTGAATGCTGATTTAGCAAGTGGCTTGAGATGATTATGCTTAGGTTTGATGAAAGACAATCTGACAAGGGTGTGTACTTGTGTGTATGTGCACGCATGTGTGTGTTTCCTTCAAAACAGCGATCTCTGCTCTTTATAGCTCATTCTCATAATTCAAGAGCATCCAGCTGCTGCATGAATAGAGGACAGGGAGAAATAAATGAATAATATTCATCACAGAGTAGAGGTAAAAGAAAGGGGGAAGTAAAAATGGATAAAGGTGAAAGGGATAGAAGGAGACAATTCGAGGGTGAGGGTCAGAGGTATGAAGAGGGAGGGGTAAACATTAAAGAAAGATAAAAGAGGAAGAGAATAGGGGAAAGAAAAAAAGAAGGGAGAAACGCAGCGAAGAGAAGTAATGAGATGATGGGCAGATGGAGATAAAGGAGTGAAAGAAAGGGGGATGGGTGTATTTGTTGCTGAAGTGACTGTTTTTCTTGTAAATGCAACCTCAGTGTGTGTGTGTGTGTGTGTGTGTGTGTGTACATGTTTTGTGTGTGTGTGTGTGTGGAGTTGGAGTATTGATCACAGTGATCCACTCCAGCCCTGAGTGTTGACTCTGCACTGACACAGCATGCTGACTTTTGCTTGTGTGTGTATGTATTATATATATATATATATATATATATATATAAACTGGCTATGTCATTATTTGCTATTTCAACCGCTAATACTAGTATTACTGTAACTAGTATTTTACTCATTATTTGACAAGTTAAGCATTTCTAAATTAGTATCCAATACAATATTCATACAAAGCAGTATGAGTGACAACTGGAATTAAATTATATGGCTTGTTTATGTTTATGTATAAGTCAATATCAACTCTCAGTGATATTGTACACCTTTAATGTTTTTGAAAACTAATAGTCACTATCCGTGCACAGAAAGTGTTTAAATATTAAACACAGTGTGTCATAAGCATTTCTGCTATGAAAAAAAGAAAAAAAAAGTGATACAATTTTTATCAGCTGTAACTCATATGATGGGAATATTGTAGTTTACATAAGCTGAATTGAGCTCATGCTTTGAAACTTGAAAATATGATTCCCTATGGTCAATGGTTCTCATTTAATGAATAAAAAAATAAAGCAGTAGACTAACAGTAATCAAACTCAAAAATTCGATGGTGAATGTAATGTACATTAGAAACATTACTCACTGCTCCTCAAACCTTAAATATTTCCTTAATGCTGATCATTATGGATCTTGTGACAAGATTGCTACAGTGCTGTTCACACTGTAAATGGCACAACATCCCATGTTAGCGTTATGTCCGCAGCACTGTCTCATTTGCATAGTCCACCTCTAAATGTGTCATTCCTCCCACAGCAATGCCATGAATTATGTGACTGAACTGCAGAAGATGTAGTGTACTACTCGCTGGTTACATTCGGCTGCATTCTTGCTCCTGATTGCTCTAAATTAGGTTCTATTTATTGGATTTATTTATTCTATTATTTCTTCCATTCTGCCTCTAGTAAATATGTTTTTCTCTGTGTCTGTTTCAGTTGTTTAAAGACAGGACGTTTCGAGAGCAGCATGGCAGAAGCCGCTGTTGGAGAGGACGCACCCAAAGAGCAGGAGAGTGCCACCTCACTCACTCCAGATCCCCTGCCAGAGGTCGGTGGTGCTCTGTGGGAAAGGGCATTGAAAGCTAGTGTTACAGCCGGAGCTTTCCTCCTGTTGTACACACTGTCTCAACTCACTGTGAGTTCATGCACATTCTCTCAAATAATGAAAGAATAAATGCTTAATACATAGCCTACATAACACACCATTGATTGTCTATTGATTTTTAATCGCTGTGTGTACGAGAACATTTGATTTATTCCCATGTTCTGGTTTGTCTAAAAGTGGCAAGTTTGTAGCTGTAGCTGAATTATTTGGACTTCTTGAAACAAGGATTGTTTTATATTTATAATGAAGGCTTTTGTCATGTAAACAGCTATAAAACAGTTGTTGTGGTGTGCCTCTCTATCTGTGTGCTTGAATATCCTTCTGTTTGAGTGTGTTTGTGCATAAGTCTAGAAAGACAGGCTGTTCCAGGGTCTGCTGTGATCGACCCTGTAGTCAATAACTGCACCACATGCGTTCCTGTCTGACAAACCAGCAAACAGATGTGTAAGACATATATATATAAACTAGCATTCAAAATCTTTGGTGTCACTTTAAAAAAAGGAAATTAATACTTATATTCAGCAAGGATGCATTCAATTAATCACAAGTGACAGTAACAATGTGTATAACATTACAAAAGATTTATATTTCAAATAAATGCTGTTCTTTTGAACTTTCTATTCATCAAAGAATCCTGGGGGGGAATTGCATCACAGTTTCCACAAAATATTTTAGCCGGACAATTGTTTTCAACATTGACATCTGCATATTAGCAAACAAAATCAACACATCAGCATATTAGCAAGCAAATCAGTATATCAGAATGATTTCTGAAGGATCGTGTGACACTGGAGACTGGAGTAATAATGCTGAAAATTCAGCTTTGCATCACAGGGATAAATTCCATTTTAAAGTATATTCAGATAGAAAACGTTTATTTTAAAATATTATAATACTCTTTCACAATATTACTTTAGCTTGGTGAGCATAAGAGACTTCTTTCAAAACATTTCAAACATCTTGCAGACTCCAAACTTGTAAACAGTTGTATATTGAAAAAAACAGTATTCTTTTATTATTTTGACATTAAAGGAGTAGTTCACTTTAGAGCCCGACCGATAAAGGATTTTGAAGGCTGATACCGATACAAATATTTTTGGGTTTTAAAATCCGATATTCCGATATATCGGCCAATATTTTTTTTTATTAAATATTGTTGGATTTCACACACATGTAAAAGAAAACCTAACTTTTCTGCACAAGATATTTTTGATACTTTTTCTCTATGTCTCAATGTTCACACCTCGCAAGTATAACTTTTTACAATGCAGGGACTGTAACTAGAGATATGCGAGTTATAAATACAGCAATCATTACTTTATTTAGGCAGAAAAAGTTCATTGTGGTTTCCAAGCTCATCAATGTTAACGTTAGCGGTCTTCCACTGATGATAGTGGCACTAGCTAGCTTTGTGATTAGCTAGTCTATGATGAGCCATAATTTAGCAATAGATAACATCATACTGCAAATTGTAAAACATACATTTTCAATATAACAGGCCAAGGAGAGATGATTGAAGCGTGTTTCATCCGTTTTTTATTTTATTTTTTAATTATTCATTTATCGGCCATTATAACTGCCTATACCGATATTTTGGAAAATGCCTAATATCGGCCGATAATATCGGCCGGCCGATATATCGGTCTGGCTCTAGTTCACTTTAAAAAAAAAAAAAAACTTTTGCTGATAATTTACTTACGCCTATGTCATCCAAGATGTCCATGTCTTTCTTTCAAGAGAAATGAAGGTTTTTGACGAAAACATTCCAGGATTTTATCCATATAATGCACTTTACTGGTAACCAAACAGTTCGAGGTCCAAAAGACACTTATAGTACAGCTTCAAAGGGCTTTAAACAACACCAGACGATGAATAAGGGTCTTATCTAGGACCCTTCGCGTCATGACTCGAAAAAAGATTTGTTCATTTTGATGAATGAGTTTGAGCTGGAGAGTCAGAGAATATCACAGAACAGAGCAAGGTGAGCATTTGTGCTTATAAAGCTTAAAGTTTTTTAATTTATTTTTTTAAATGGCCGATCGTTTCGCCCTTATTCATTGTCTGGAATCCTCTAAAGCCCTTTGAAGCTGCAATGAAACTCTCATTTGGACCTTGAACCATCTGGTTCCCATTGAAGTGCATTATATGGAGAAAATCCTGGAATGTTTTCATCAAAAACCTTAATTTCTTTTTGACTGAAGAAAGAAGGACATGGACATCTTGAATGACATGGGGGTGAGTAAATTATCAGCAAAAGTTTTTTTAAAAGTAAACTACTCCTGTAAACTTACTGAAACGCAAATGATATTTTAAGACAAATTTTGTGATTCAAATAAAACATCTCATATCTTTCTTTCCAATCTCTATTTATGTAGGCTGGGTCACTTTTCCTTTTGAAGGGTTTGTGTTTGTGCATGTTTAAAAATAAATGTGTTTTGATGATGTGTTCAGGGTTTGTGGGTCCTTTACATGCTGAATGGATACAGGGCGTTTCCAGCGGCACATAAAGTTTTGGATCTCCTTCAGTACCTTCTCTCCACCAGTGATGCCTATGATCAACAGGTGACGGATCTAGAACTGAAACGACTGAATAAAAAAAGTTTGATGTGAAAGAATAATATTTTAAAGCAATTCACTGCTGCGTGTCATTCATTTTTTGAAGTGACAAAATAACAAAAAGACATGAATGCACTTGTCTGCAGATGGAGATATGGAGGGTGGAGAGCGTGTTGCCCCTCATAGCCACACTCTTCTTAGGTGTAGTCATTCTTGGTACTGGAGTGAGTATGTTTTATATGTTTTTGACTTTTCCTACTCAGAGTTTTAGTTGACAAACCTGTTTCTGCAATAACTTGTGCTCAGCATAAACTGAGTTGCAGCAGCTGATTTGAACACTATATTGTTTACCATGCACTCATTCCTTTGTGTAAAGCTTGAACTTCCCTTTTCTCCCTTTTCGCTGTCATAACAGACGCTGTTCTGCATTAGAACCCTGGTGCCTGGCAACCCATCTTGCTTCCCTGATGACCGTCGTCAGTCCATGAGCAGGCAGCCTTCCTTTACATATTCAGAATGGACAGATGCTAAACAGGAGTATTTCTACGAGCTGGATGCTGTTCCGGAGACGCCTGTGTTCGACTGCTTTATGGACATGAAGACCGAAGCTGACCCTGCCACTCTCACTGTCAAACCTGTTGGCTTGCAGGAAAGGTAAGAAAACAGGCTGTTTTTTTTCTGGACGCTTCACATATGATGTATTTTACGACTCATGAATAATTTGTTGTTGTTTGCTGTTAGAATAGTCTATGATGGCTTTGTTAGGTAAGTGTTTAATGTGACAGTGTGCTAAATATTTCAACGAGGAAAGGATGCAGAAGTGGTGGGGATGGAAAGGCTAACCACTTGTGTCATAATTAAACATTAAAAAGAAAATGTTCAATATTTAAAAGGCAACTTTAAATAAATATTTGAACAACAGATGAATTCCCACTTCATTTATGCGGAATTATATATCCGTTAAAGTCCATAAAACAAACTCTCATAAAAAGAAAAAAAGTAGTCAAAATAATTTTAACACTTGAAAAACTGTTGTTATTTTCAGGAGAGGTTCTAACGTGTCGCTGACGTTGGACATGTGCACCCCCGGTACTACAGAGCCCTATGGAGCGCTGCTGTCCCCTAAAGAGCAGGGCACACAGGAATATCTGAAGAACGCATCCAACCTGCTCACCCCCGAGCAGCTGCACAAGCGCGCACTGGACGACGCTTTACTGCAGGCAGAGTTCTACGTGAGTATCATTCACAGTAACACGCACATACAGTACACAACAAAACAGTGATTGTAACGTGATGTCACTGCTCATCTTGGGATTCTGCTGGAAACAGGAGACACCCATGAACTTCGTGGACCCAAAAGAATACACTTTCCCCGGCGTGGTGAGGAAGAATCGCTATAAAACCATACTACCAAGTGCGTATAATACTCTGTAAAACAGTTATATGTGGAAACATCTAATGAGGTTTGTTCTTGATATTGGCATACCTTTGTATTTGTAAGGTCTTATCTCTAAATTGCAGACACACATAGCAGAGTTTGCTTAAAAGCAAATGAGGAAGGTGATTTTCTCAGCACCTACATCAATGCTAATTATTTGAAGGTGAGTCTGTGTTAGTATCAAATTGGTTGATATAGTATTTAAGTTGTTTTAATAAAATTTTATAAAAAAAACAAGTTTGTAGTGTAACGTTCAATTTTTTAAGGTTGTTAATCATTTAGCATTTTTGTGAGGGCTCGAAATATTGCTTCAGATCACAAACTACCAAAAGTTTGTGTGTTTGTTCTCAAAATAGCCATATAAAATTGTTCGAATTTACATCTTTGATTTTGTCATATGCTATTTTAGGGATATGGTGGGAAAGAAAAGGCTTACATTGCCACACAGGGTCCCACTGTAAACACAGTGGGGGATTTCTGGAGGATGGTTTGGCAGGAGCACTGTCCCATTATCGTCATGATCACCAATATTGAAGAAAAAAATGAGGTCTGGCTATATCCACACACCATATGCAACTATACTCACATAATTGGAATGAATCAGTCTTTCATCCTGAGCGATAAAAATTCTAGATTATTCAGATGGATTTCTTCTTTAATTGTCAGGGTTTTGTAAACTTGAATCAACACTAAATTGCTCTTCTTGTCCAACCTCTGGTGCTTTCACTATTTAATACTGAGCAATTACTCGGGATGAAACCACATTCTTAAATGTTCACTTTGTATTTTTGTAGCTTAAGCCATTTTGCAGTAGTCAAAAAGTTAATAAAGGTTGTTGACTCTTTACTTGCCTAGAAATATTTCAGTGAATATCAATTTTCAATTTGAATTTCAGGTCCTGATTTCAGTCATCAGGAATCGTGAATGGATTTTTGTCCGAATGGGTTAAAATGAGCTGTGCTGGATTTCTTTATGAATTAACTATTTGTCTGTGTGATCCACAGAAATGCACAGAATACTGGCCAGAGGACAGTGTCGTCTGTGAGGGTATCGAGATCACTGTCAAACAGGTCATCCAGGCAGATGACTACAGTCTAAGGATTTTCACTGTGAAGGTCTGTTTGGTGTTGTGACTGTGTTTTGGTGAAAATAACTGACTTGCATTTATATCAATTTATGAGTGAACTAATGATTGACTTTTAATGTATTAACTGACTTAACAGTTACATTTTTACCAAAAAGTTGAGAGAAATTTTATATTTTCTTTTAATCATTAAAGAAATCTGGCACACTGATTCCAACTGAAGAAAGTATCTTAGTTAGGTTTTGGTCTAGCATGTCATTGTCACGTTACTGAGCAGATTGGTAACACCTACTGGTCAATATTTCAGCATTACTGCAACTTTAAAGTGCCCCTATTATGGTTTTTCGAATATTGCCATTCATGCATTGTGTAACATAGGTGTTTGTGAATGTAAACGTTCTGTAAAGGTGTAAACGTCTCTTACTGTCTGGACAATTGACGCGAACATGCAAATGCTGACTGGTCCGCGGGCAGTATAAATAACATAGGTGTGACGATTGCGTCAGAATAAAGACTGAACGTTAGCACAGCTGATCAAATGGCGAGCACGGCGGTTGACGTAATGTTTCGTTCCCGCCTCTCAGGGAACCGAGGTTACGAAAGTAAATGGAGACGTTCCATTTCAAGGCGGTCACTTCGACATTACGTCACACTGACGTATATGGGAACTGTATAGAATCCCGCCGTGAGCGCAGTGAAGATAAACACTGATGGGGTCAAGCTACACTCCCACAGGAAACAACACTTCAAAACCAGCAGCGCCGCTGGAGCACTCAAACTGATAGGCGAAACTAGACCAAACTGATAGGCAAAACTAGACCAACGTCTGCTCCTACTTTACCAAAGTTGCACATCCAATGCAATGAAGCGAAGGCTGCACTGGACAGGGTAGCACAACACCATAAGCACTAAAGCAAAAGAGTTAACACAGCTGCATAACCTTATAGCCACACACAGAGTTAACAGTACATAGGAACTACTGCTTAAAGCGGAAACAGCTATGAAACCTTATAGTCATAACACTGAGTTAGCAACAAAGGTAACTCTGCAATACAGACTACTGCACAGCTGGTGGGAACAGTTTCATGAGTTCATAAATAAACTCACCGAATCCACAGCGCTATAGGTGGTGCATCAAACTTGAAACCCTGGCGAACGTGTTCTGAGAAGACAGCCAGCATACCTAAATCCCGTCAATTGGCCAGCTGTCTCCAGCTGGTGTTAGCCTATAAGATTGTAGTGAAAATGGAGAAGGAAGGAGTTCCCATATACGTCAGTATGACGTAATGTCGAAGTGACCGCCTTGAAAGGGAACTGTGTCTATTAAAGGAGAACTCCAGCGCAAAAATTAACCTTTGGTCTAATAAAACATTGGTACCTTGTCAACCGTTCTCTGAGATTTGTTTTCATGATAATCGAATGTAAAGAGTTTTATCTCTAAAAACTGTTTAGCGTATACGCAAGTATATGGGGGCATATAATAAGTAAAGAGAAATCGCTTGCTAATACCACAAACAAGGCTCAAAATAGCCCCAGGCTAACACAATAACATGATGAGGATCCCTACATGCAAAACGAACCATTGAGAACTTTGTAAGTGTACAGACCGTTTAATAAGAACTCATTTTATAAAGACAGTACACTTTGTGTATACAGGCAGCAGCCGTCTTTGGAAAACAGTCTCGACAAGTCGAACACAGCACTGTAAACTGTTGACCAATAACAACAGACTGAGCTGTCTGGCCAATCAGAGCAGAGTTAGCTCACTGAAAGGAGAGATTTAGAGAGACTAATTCATCCAACAAGTAATTTGAGAATCATGGAACAATGTGGTGATGTGCAATGTATATTATGAGAAAATGAAAAAAGTTGAAAAAGTAGTGCTTTTTGACCTTTGATGCATGTAAGCCTGTTGTAGGAGACCTCCAAAACAAAATTAGGAAACTTTAAAATGGCATAATATGGGCACTTTATATTAGTTTAAACCCCATTAAAAATAAGATGCATTACTGTTTCATATTTTGCATCCTCTTTTCAAGTAGAATTCCACACAGACCTTGAGAAATGCAGATTAATTGCTGTTTAAAAGTCATCACTTTTTTTAAAGAACAAGTAATTTAAAAGTCAATTATAATATAACCAATATATTGTAACTAATAAAGACAAGTCCCGTATTTACTGAAAAGTCTAACCTCCTAAAAGTTGGAGTGGAGTAGAAAGATAATAGGGACAGAAAGTGAGAAGTCCAAGTTGAGCGTGATATTTTTCTGCTTCTAGGTGTGTTTTATACTGTTTCCTCCAGAGGTATTGCTGTCATGGCAACAAATATTCTTAGCAATGCAGTTTTTCATATAAATGAAATGCATTTAATCACAAAATCTGCGTATATGATATCTTGAAGATATATATCAAAGAATGTGTGTTTGTGTTAGTGTATGGGCAACACATGAAGCAGCTCTTTATTGCATGTGCAGCTTGTAAAAAAGAAAAGACAGTTCATTTACATTTATTCATTTAGCTGACGCTTTTATTGGTGTCTCACAATAGATTCTAACCCGGGTCTCTCACACCAAAGACATGTGTCTTATCCACTGCGCCATCACCACCCCATATATCAAAAACAGTAACAAAAAACAGTATCAAAATAAAGCCAATTCACAACGCACTGACAGACGGCAACAGACACTTTGTCAGATTTTGTTGGATCGGGGTTTGCCCTGTCAAAGTCTGTCAGAGCTTGTTTTCACCTTTTGAACATGCTGAATAGGAATTATCCCGGGTTCATACTACACAATATTTGACGTGGTGATTCCTCGGCTGCAAGAATCAATCGTTTCATCCTGTATAGTGTCTCATATTAGGCGACAACCGACACAGTGACTACCCAGCATTAGAATGTCTAAGCAGTGATGTGCTATAATCTGGTTACCGCCGCCGTTGGTCAGCATCTGTCAGTGTGGTGTGAAATGGCCTTAAGGGGACACTTTTGTAATTGGGCTTTGGCCCAGTACTGATTGAAAGGCTAGAAATGCTCTTGTGCATGCATGTGTGTTTATGAACTGCAAATGTGCAATGTGAATGTTTGTGTGTGTAGAGTGAGGGTGAGGAGCGCACCCTCAGACAGTACTGGTACACATCCTGGCCAGATCAAAAAACTCCAGACAAGGCCCCGCCTCTCCTAGAGTTGGTTCAGGAAGTGGAGGAAGCGAGGAAACAGGCTCCATCCAACAGTGGCCCTGTCATTGTCCATTGCAGGTAACACACATGCACACAAACACACACATACATATAATATATGCATGGACAAATTGTAAATGGAAATTTTGTAACCGACTAGTCTATAATTAAGAAACCCTCTAGAGACTTTTGTATATATGATCCATTTGAGCACTTAATCTATCAGTCAAACAGTCAAATCCCATAATAACATGCTGCACACTTGGCAAAAGAAGCTTTTGTCTATTGATTGGTCATCTCTGTGCTCTCCGTGACTGACACATATTTTTAAACACCATTTTCTCTACTCTCAGTGCAGGGATTGGACGCACTGGCTGTTTCATTGCTACCTCCATCTTGTGCCAGCAGCTAAGCAATGAAGGGGTGGTTGACATCCTGAAGACCACTAGCCAGCTACGCTTGGACAGGTAAAATATATTCACATGAGTGTCAGTTTGAGTACTGAGACAGCAGCAGAATAAATATTGTCTCTTTGGCCTCAGTGGTATCCAGGCCACCCTAAAGTAATAGATATAGTATTATAATATAGCCTGGTTAAAACCAGACCATTCTCAGTTGTAACTGAGATATGGTCTGGCAAAGCGTCATAGACAAATCATTTCCAGCAGAGGGGCGTCACCAGTGGACGTCGCGGGTAGACCTAAAACCAATCAGAGCGATGAAGGAGATAATGTTTGCAGAGCGGCGGCAGGCGGAGAAACGTCTCCGAGTGTTGTTCTTTGCTCGGTTTTTAACAAAAAGGAAACGTTAAAATCGCTTAAAAACAGACGCGATAGCTGATTAGAGCGAGTGATGTTCGACGGCGGCGTCCATCTTTGGAATGTAGGCTACAAAATCTGCTTCAAAATCCCAGCGCTGTCATCATCGTGTAAAGCCCGCCCCAACGTTTCTGATTGGTGCCGCGATTTCTGTGGACTGGAAATGGGTTTGAATGAGCTCTTTGCCAGACTAACTTTCAGAGCAAATCTAAATTTTCCGGAAGTTGTCTGGGTTTTCACAGGCTAGTTATAACAGTCTCTTGTTAAAGGAGTTGTTCACTTTTGAAAAAACTTTTGCTGATAATTTACTCACCCCCATGTAATCCAAGATGTCCACGTCTTTCTTTCTTCAGTCAAAATGAAATTAAGGTTTTTGATTGAAACATTCCAGCATTTTTCTCCATATAATGCACTTCAGTGGAAACCAAACGGTTCAAGGTCCAAAAGACACTTTCAGTACAAACTGCAAACTGTTCAAAGGGCTTTAAACGATTCCAGACGATGAATAAGGGTCTTATCACATGAAACGATCGCTCATTTAATAAATAAATAACAAAGTTTAAGTTTTATAAGCTCAAATGCTCGCCTTGCTCTGTTCTGTGACGCACGTTTGTGACTCTCCTGTTCGAACTCGTTCATCAAAATTAACAAATCTTTTTCGAGTCATTTAGTTCATTCAACGAACGAAATGAACAAATTGACTCGGAAAAAGATTCGTTCGAACGAGTTCGAACAGGAGAGTCACAAACGTGCGTCACAGAACAGAGCAAGGCGAGCATTTGAGCTTATAAAACTTAAACTTTGCTATTTTTTTTTTTAAATGGCTGATCGTTTTGCTTGATAAGACCCTTATTCATCGTCTGGAATCGTTTAAAGCCCTTTGAACAGTTCACAGTTTGTACTTAAAGTGTCTTTTGGACCTTGAACCGTTTGGTTACCAGTGAAGTGCGTTATATGGAGAAAAATGCTGGAATGTTTTCATCAAAAACCTTCATTTCTTTTCGACTGAAGAAAGAAAGACATGGACATCTTGGATGACATGGGGGTGAGTAAACTATCAGCAAAAGTTTTTTTAAAAGTGAACAAAGTAACACTTTAAAAGTAACACTCCTTTAAGTGTTATAAATGTGGACTGCTAGATGCTATTCTGTGGGATGACGTGTATTAACAGTTGGTCTCCCGCTGTTGTTAATGTTGTTGTTGTGTGTTTAGAGGTGGGATGATCCAGACAGCGGAGCAGTATCAGTTTGTTCATCATGTACTCAGTCTGTATGAAAGACAGCTTCGAAAGACCTCAGAAGAGTAAAGCCTCCATGAGCGCACAACCTTCACATCTCTCCTCAGAGCAGTTGACCTTCATCCGAACACATGGGGCAGGGACTGACCCTCAGTTCCTCAAGCAAGCCTCATGTATTTAAACACAACAGAAGTTTAGGTTGAACCGTCCTTTTAGAAGCAGACCCAATAATACATTTTAGCCTACCTAAATTCAACATCACAACACCAATCAGTTATTAATTTTTTGTTCTTTATTCTTTACCATAAAAGTAACACAACAAACATAAAGGGATCATATATATCATAACACAAGTGCTGCCCTCATAATAACGTTCAGCAGGCCATCAGTGCTCAAATATGACAAAGTTTCTATGCGTGTGTACTTCATATGTGGTGGGATGAACACAATAACAAGCAGACACTGAGGCCTCCATTTATGATGTACATTTAGCATTAGGTTTAGGGACCTCTTCAATTTCCGAGCCTACAAATACAGCAATTTTCCTTTTACTGCTAAGACATTTTTACAGGATTTATAACTCCATATAACAATGAGATTTGCTGTAAAGTGTGTGTGTACATATAGGGGTCTCACGTGTTGAAAGATCAACCTCTTGGCAATCTGATGTGTCAGTGTGTGTGTGTGTGTGTGTGTGTGTGTGTTGCAGAAACAGAAGGAGAGAGAGATAATGTTTACTATGTGTTATAATGATCATCAGACTTTAACTCCGGATGTGCGGTTGGTCTCTAGAAGAGGTTAGCCTAATACATTTAATACAAAATGGCCTTAATATGTGTCTTTCTGTTCGTACTGAGGTCCGTATGGTTGTTTGTGGATGTTGTCGGGCAGATCTAAACGCAGCGTGGCGTTACAGCCTGTCGTAGTCTCATTCAGTAAGACTGAGAGGCTGATCTCCGTACAGAATGATGTACATTTTCCCTCAGCATACCTTTGCCTTCTTGGTTTGCGTGTTGTTGGACGCTGTATAATGCGAAATGGATTAGTTGGACTCTAAAAAGCATTGATGCTGCACCTCAAGGTTTTATGTATCAAAATGCCGAAACACTGTATCCAACTAATGTTAAATTTGTAAATCAGCTTGTATCAATAGCAGAAATCATGACAATGGGACATATATAGTTGTGAAGTTTTTTGCTAATTTCTATTTATTTTATTATTAGCTTGTTTTCCTCTGGTTACATTTAACATTGTTTATATGTGGGTCTGCATATCTGATTAGTTAAGATGTGTAATCAGTATTTGCCCGGATTGGCAGCTCGTACAGCTTTGCTGAGACTTGCAGTTTGCATGAGCAAGTACGTTTTGAACTTCTTTTTAATTATGAGCAAGGAAATGTTTAAGTTACAAGCAGACATCTGTGTGTGATTATGTGCAAAAGCTTCTGATACGGCAGAGTCTCTCTCTGCTGTTGGAATAAGCATCTTCAATCAATGATCTCATGTGATCCAGCTGGAAGTACCAATGCAAGTCCTCCTCTGAATTTCTTTAGACAGTACTGCTACCACCCTAATTGTCTCCAGTTGTTCTCGAGTCAGTCATATGTCCTCAAAATGCTGTTTCCTTCCAGGCAGCTTTGAGCTGAAATTAGGAAGTTTACAGAAGCTTGAAAACATCACCTTGTTACACAAGAGATTGTACTGGTTTTTTTTTTTTTTTTTTTTTTTTTTTTCGGGAGGGTATATATGTAAGTGTTGTTAGTTCAAAGCCTCATGATGATAGTTTTCAAGAAATGAGAATAACTTTCACTCACATGCTTTAATTGCTGCTGTATAGTCTTTTTATTGTTGCATAACAGCTTTCGTGTTTTAGTTGGTTCTAAGTGAATCTTATTATTAGTTTTTAATGAACTGACTTATTCGTCATATTTATTGAAATTTTTGTCTCTTTTGTGCTGTTATTACACTGCCAAAGACTGTAGTGATTGGTCCATACTGCAAAACCGGAACAATCCTAATTCTATATTTACTTTGAAACCCTAAACCAGTTTTAACAGTTACTTGTGAAATTGTGTTTATGTATGAAACCAGAATTTATATATTTTTAACCAGTTTTAAAGGGAAGAATCCAAATTTCCACTGTAAAACCTGTTCTCTCACTTACCCAGACTTTTTTTTTAGTTTGTTTATCTTCTTTTATTAATTTATGCTGGTGTAGTATTTTCTGTCATAGTTTGTTTCCTTTGCAGAGTGCTTTTGACACTAAATCTTCATAATAAGATTGTAATTAACTAAAGGACATTGGAAATGCGGTGATTTGCAAAAGATTTAATGTTTTATTATTTTTAGATTTAAATTTAGATTTAGTTTTGTAGATTTATATTATGTATTACCATTTAACATATGGGGGTTAAAACATTTTTTTTTTAATGTTTTTGAAAGAAGTCTAATGCTCACCGAGGCTGCAAAAATGCAGTAAATACAGTAATATTGTGAAATAATATTGCAATTTAACAGTTTTCTATGTTAATATATATATATAGAGTAATTTACTGTGATGATGATGAATTTTCAGCACCATTACTCCAGTTGTCAGTGTCATATGATTCTTCTGAAATCATTCTAATATGCTGATTTACTGCTCAAGAAACATTCATTATCAATGTTGAAAACAGTTGTGCTGTTTAATATTTTGTGGAAACCATGATACATATTTTTTTCAGGATTCTTGAATCATTATAAAGAACCCAGTACTGCAAGTGAGTGAGAAAACAGGTTTTTGTCCATAATGATCTATTTACTAATTTAGATGATTGTAAATACAGGCTCTATCTACAGCATTTGGCAATTATCAAAAATATGAATCACTAAAAAACAGAAAGAAAAGAAAAACCCATAAAAATCAGTTTTGTGTAAATCATGGACTAGTGTAACAAATTTTTTTACTGACAATCTTTCAGTGACTGGTACAGCCTGTAAACATGGAGCTCCACTCTTGGCATAAACAAAACTTAAAAGTATTTTCTGTGGTAATCACTATGGCACAAATGCTGTGGACAACACATAAATGTATTCAAACCAGGACATTTCATAGAGGAATCATTTTTAAAATGTTGAACCGAATGTGTGTCTGTTTGATGGCCATTTACTGGTTTTGTACATTTCCAAAGTCATCAAACTTGTCACGTTCAGGATTATACTGTTTTAGGACAATGAGTTTATCCACAAGAAATCCTATTTTTATTTTTTTTTTAAGTTGTTGGATGAGTGTACAGGAGGCCATTACTAGCCTTAATCGCCAGTGATCACACAAATAAATCCTGTTTTCATTGGGTGTACCGATTTATTATTCTGATGCATGCAACAAATGTGATCAGGGTAAAATAATGTGATTTCATGTTAGCTGAATACTCTTTTGAATCATAATGTTATAGTTCAGACTGAGAGAAGGGGCAATATTGCAGTTTAGAGAAGTCCTATCCCTCCTCCAACTCACTGCCCACTCGCTCTCAGTCGGACCCCACTTCCTGAACACTCCATCTGTCAGACCCGTCTGTGTTGCCAGAGAAGAGTAACACACACACGGGCACCAGCAAATGAGGATATCATTATATCATACACACTAATTAGATCCTGGGCCAAACTAGCTTGGATTATGTCCATGTAATCGTGATTTTAATATATTTAAAAGCAAGTGTACTGTTTTATGTTTAAATGAATATTCATTTTATCATAATGAATGACTCACTACCAGCATAGTATGTCTTTATGCACTATAATGTACAAAGCTAAAACAAGCACAAAGATGAAATACTGATTTTTGAATGTGAATGCAGAGGCCTATGCCTCGGCTGTCTTAATATTGCAATGCCATCTGAGTATTTGACCTTTTGCTTCTTCATCTCACTCAAATATTTTCAAGATTTGTTTTCAGGAGACCATGCGTTGATCAGTGTTTTGATATTTTATTCTTATTTATTGTCCTGTGATTTTGGTTGAAATGTTTGGCACAGACCCTTCAATCTAAAAAAAAAAAAAAAAGATGAACTGTTTTGGTTTCATTTTAATACTGTTCTATAGTGAAATAGATGTGGTTTGAAAAATACAATTTGCCTCATTGCTTTTGTATTTGTTCCTCTGCTGTTGAAATCCAAATAGAATGTAACATGACTACGTTTACAATATCATGGCTTGTATTATTGGTATAAGCTTTAATTTTGAAATAAAAATATTCTTCTGTTAATCAGGATTATGGGGTGATTGGACTTTGATTGACATAGAGACAAGGTATTACCTTGGGTTTTGCTCAATGATCTCAAATATAAAATTAAATATTGACCTGTACAAAAGAAAGGAAGAGGGAGTTGTGATTTGAGTGACAGTATGCTTGGAATAGCTTGTATAAATAGTGGAGTGACATGTCGCACAGTATTGTATCCCATACTTGGGATTTGTGCTCTACATTTCACCCATCCAAGTGCACACACACACACTGTGAACACACACCTGGAGCATTGGACAGAGTTTTTTTTTTTTTTTTTTTTTGCTGGGGTTAGATGCCTTGCTCAAGGGCACCTCAGTTGTGGGTATTAAGAGCGCTGTTCATTCACTCCCCCACCTACATTTCTTGCTGGCACTGAGACCTTCGGTTTTCATTATTTATTTTGTTGAATGTGTCCAGTAAAATGTGCATGATGAAACCAAAATGTTTTTGGTTGTAAATGAACACATTCTGGGTTTTCCACCAGCTCTGCATTTGGAATATTTATATAGGCTATAATTATGCATTTCCATATATATATTTGAAATGTAGCCATTTGGCCCTTGACCAAACAAAGGCCCCTGTAGCCTACCATTTTAAAAAGAGTTAAATTTTTTTTGTTACCGAGATATTATTTTCTTTATCTGTTTCGTTTTAAGAGCTCAGACATGCAATTTGACTAATTTCTTTTCATAATGTTGAATAATGTAATTCCTTTGATTTTGAATGATCTTTAGCCTAATGAATTTTTATAGAGAATTGACGACACTGCTATTTAAACAATTCCCAATGTAAAGTCTGAGAAATTAGTATTTGTTTTAAAATTACACCTTTTATGTGCAAATAATAAGATGTTGTAACAGAGAGGTATTTAATTTCCAAAACCCTGGCTTAGTTACCCAAAAAATGTCATCATTTACTCTCACCCCAAGTTGTTCCAAACTTGTATGAATTTCATTCTTCTGCTGAACACAAAAGAAGATATTTTGAAGAATTTCACTAATCAAACAGTTATTGGTTCCCACTGTGTGGAAAATATATACCAGAAGATACTGGGGCCCATGATCAACTGTTTGGTTACCGACATTCTTCAAAATATCTTCTTTTGTGTTCAGCAGAAGAAAGAAACACATAGGCTACAGGTTTGGAACAACTTTAGGGTGTCAGAATGACAAAAAAAAAAGACAAAAAAAAGAAGAAAATCACTCCCCTTAAATATGGTAGCCTACTATTTGAGGGAATTAGCCATTTGTAGTAGCCTGAGTAACGCGATTTTATTAATGATACGTGGTCTGTCTGGTGTTAGGCTACATTTGTAGTGGTGTGTGACGAAAACCATAGTGTTCTTCTCATATGTAGTTTAGTTCTCAGGTGAACTGGACGATGCCGCTAGAGGGCTCCAGTCGTCCTTAGCGTCCGAATCCGTGTCATGAGCATAGACTGTAAAAAAGGTCATGAGTCATGACCGACAAGGAGCTCGTATGGTGCCTGCAGCCCAAGCGAGCCCCAGGCACAAAACCCGCTTGATGAGACTTACTGGGGGAGATTTTTTTTTAATCATAATATGAGTATGGTGATTAAAAAACATGAGCTTTGAGAATTTTTTTAAATTAGTTTTTCTTTCCTGAATGCTCAAGAAATTCTATTTTTTCTACCACTCGATTAAATCAAGTAACGTTAGGCATACTGACAGCACATGCTTTGCTATTTACCTATGATCTGCAGTTATTATACCCTGTACGCTCAATAAATGAGACTTGTAGTTAAGATGTTTGCAATCTAACTATAATCTAAGGTATGACATAGAATTATGTTTTTATTTTGTTATATTTATGTTATAGTCACTATATATTCTAAATAATGCTTATTGCAAACATTTTCTTTTTAAATAAAGCAATATACGCTTTACACTTTATACCGCTGACCTAATAATAATTGTTATTTAACAGAAATGTAGACCGACAAGAACTCGGTCGTTCTGATGCAACTTCTCGCGGAGGGATATCAGCCATGGCGACACATTTGTAATCTGTCTTGTTGCCTGGAGATAAGTAAAATGGAGTCTGAAATCGCCTTTAAAGTCCTTCCTTCTCAGCCATGTTGGCTCAACCGGAATTGTCAAAGGATGTTTGGAGACATATGATGCAGGTTCAGCTTGATCCAAAATGTCGTCACCTGCGTCCTAACTCGAGTTAAGGACGTAACATATTTTACCCCGCGCCTGATATCTGTGACGCGATTGCGGCGGACGCGGACCTTCGGAGCTCCAGCTCGGAACGGCAGCGGGAGAGAAGTCATCGCTTCTCCTGCTGCTATTTAGCACACTGCGTAGGGTTACAGCAGGTAAGATTATTTCACCATGTTAAACTGCCTTCCAATATGTTGCGTGTTATATATATTGGTAATGCTCCACATTTACGACTTGAATTGAAAGCTGATGTTTTAGGCCGTCTCGTCAAG